ACATTTACCTACAATTCAAAATAAAATTGTAACGATCGAAACAGTTTTGGCCAAGTTATCGCATTTTTTAAGAAAAAAAGAAACAATCATTGTTTCTGACCATTTTTCAAAAATTTCCTACGGGTGAACAAAACAAATTTAAGCAAAAGAAAAAAATACGGGTCTCATCGATTTCGGTAGAGAAACTGTAAAAAAAATTTCGTTAAAAAATAACGACCTGGTCGATTTGAGATGGAAAGGCCTGATATTCCTATGTATTTTCGCCCTCTGAAACTGAATCTAAACTCAGTCTATCAGTTTTGCCAATGCGCGAAATTTAAGTTTAAAATAGTAATACTCTAGTGTCTTTACAGTAAATATTACACTAATAAGAAACACTATTTTTTTTTTAACTTAATTCAATTCTCAGGAGCCTGTTATCATTATTAAGAGGTCGCTCATCGCGATTTTCTAATAATATAGAATTTGTTTTAATTTTGGATTTATATAACTCGTAAACTAATCAATGGACTGAAATGCACAAAAGTTTTGTTACAAAACATATTTTAATAGAAAATCAAACGCTCTACAAATAAGGTATCCTATTATTTAATCATAAATATACTCGTTATTCAAGCTTAAAGTTAAATTCAAAAATTGTCGTAGGACGGTCCTACTAGGACCTTTTTTAAGATGACTACTAAAATATGTCCTTTAATTTTTTAAAAAATACTGGTTATACAAATTAATTTTTTGCAACCAAAAATAATAATTTATAAAACCAGTAATTGTTGAAACATAGGATTTCAAAAATTCCTTTAAAGTTTGTAATAAATCCGATAGTTTTTAAATAAAAAGTAAGAAAAACTTGAAATTTACTATAAATTCTATTTAAGCTTGATTAACTTTTTTTGACCAGAACACCTGTCCTGATCATCCATTCATTCGTTATCTAGTTATATAATTTTAAAGTTAATATTTTTTTATGTTATTTAAATAGGAAATAGAAAATCGCAATAAAGAACCTCTAATAATATTACGAGCTAAAATTTTATTTTTTTTTAGATTTTTACCGCGTAGGGGGCCCTGGATCGGGAGGGGCCAAGGGCTGCGGCCCTTTAAGGCCCATACCCAAATCCTTCAGCTGTAACGTTTGGTTATACAAAAACTTTTATTTTATTAAATTCCAAATTTTATTTTGCAAAACAAGTGTGTTAAAAAATGTGTTGTAGTAAGTAATAAAAAAGGTAAAAAAGCACAGTTATCTGATTGTTTAAGTTAACTTAAGTGATATGTTTTTCTAAAGAGAGGTACCGGAACGTTGCAAATTACTATAGTACCTATTTTATTTATCTTTGCCCGTTTATTTTTACATATGTTTATAATTATACTTGTGTAATTTCCTTAATTATTTATATTACCTTCCCATATATAACATGCTGTTTTCTTTATTTTTTATTTAACAGAAACCAGGCTATATTTTTTTAAAGGCTAAAATTCCTTAAACACATTAGGTTTTCGAGAAATTCTATTCCAATAGTAAAAATTTTGCTAAATATTTCAGGTTCTATAACATCACAAGTTTTTTTTTCTTTACAAATCTTGTTAGGCCATCTAAAAGTAGTTGAATTTTATTAGTTTGTTTTTGGTAAAATTTGATTAATCGTTTTAATCATGGAGCCTACTCAAGGAGCCCGAACTTCATGTAAACAAGAATCTTCCTAAGATAAGAGGGCGCTGGTGTACTACCGTACCAAAACAGTAGAGGGGTATAACCAGAGATGGCGCCACTACCTACGACTTATTATTGTGCAAATAATTGAGGTTATGCAACTGTCAGTTTATTGCTTTCTGAAAACAATGTACCCATGTACCTGGTTTTGTGTCTTAATTTACAATACATTTATATCAAATTTAACATTGGAATTCATGTTGGACTTTCTGATGTAGAGCATAGTACAGTTTTTTATAAATACGTGTTTTTTTCTATACAAGATTGTCGTGTGGTGTTAAAGCGTGTAAAACTAACAGAATATTAAATCCATATGGTATTTATTTTTAGTTTTATAGGTAGATGGCTTAAATAAAAGTTCAATATAAACAAATAAAGGTGGAAATTATTAAATATGCTGTTTACTCATTTTATACATACTTTTTTATTTAAATTAAATTTAGATTATTAAATAGCTTTGTATTTCTAACCTGGAAATCTAATTTTGCTTCTCCAGAGTCGTAAAATCACTTCACAGATTATAAAGAATCATTTATATTTCACAACCAAAACCTATTCATTAGCATCTACCTACCAGGTACAGCCATAAATAACAAAACGATTCGTACGTCAAAACATTATTGCAAATCAATTGTCAAAACTTACTTGATTACTTCACATGTATTTGCGATACTATTTTCACGTCATACGGGCGCATCGACAATCAGCGCTGCTGGTGGTGAAAAAAAAAAGACTTAATTTGTGCAATTTAGTGGACAGGTTTTGTCAATTTTTCCTTGTGTAGGCTCCATGGTTTTAATCATGAATTTAAATTAACGATTTTTCGGGGATGATAAAAGAAAACCTACTTGAGATAAAAGTTCTGTAGAAAAAGAGAAAAAAAGAAAAGAAAGCCCAAGTATAGTCTGATTTAAACAATGGTTAAATTTTGTAAACCTGTGTATTTGGTATAAATATTTCCTTACTGCCCTTCCCCTTTATAACAAATGATAAATGTTAATTTATATTTAACATGCAAATTATATTTTGTTGGGGAAAAATTTTTGGTCAATTTTTAAATTTGACGTTGAAATGCCTTTTTGTAATTGGTCAAAATATAGTATGACAAAGGTAAAAAAGAAATCAAGTTTTAATATCTCTAAATATCTTTAAAATTTGGATATTTGGATAAGATTTTTTACTATTCATATTTAAGAATTTGTACTTTTCTTATACGTTTTTAATTGAGAAAATGGCTTAACACTGTGAAGAAAGTTGATCTCTTTCTCCATGGGTTACTGTCCAATGAGATGATGAGATGAAGAGATTTTAATTTTCTACACGGTAGGATTTATCATTACTATGACGATTATACGGAGGTTCATTATTTCCTTCCTGTTCAGTTGTCTACTTTAACCTGGTCATGTTCACTTTCGGGTTTGTCGTCATCAGAGAAGGAAACACGGTATGGATCGCCATTAAGCTGTTCATTGTTTTAGAATTGCTCAGGCTCATTATAGCTCTCAGTGTGGAAAAGATTGTAGAACTTTTTAAGATGCCCTTGTTCTTTTTTATAAGATCCCATTGTCTTGGTGTTAAAAATACTTGCATCTTGCATGCCATACAGCATGAAATATACTTACATATTTATGGTTTAATATTAAGTAAAGCTCTGAATGGACAGTTTATTTGTATTTTCACATATCTTAGGGAATTTCATGACTTATTTGACAGTCGGTTTGTTGTTGTAAAAAGACAGCTGTATTAGAAAGACAGCTTTAAAAGCTATGAGTGATTTTTTTCAAATTTTTTTATAATTTAATTTCCGAAATATTTTAAAACAAAAAATTGACTCATTTTTCATTGTTTATATTGTAAAATTCGCAAAAATAAAAAGGACTGAAATTTTACAATTTATGATTTTTTGATATGAAAATTTGACTGTTTTTCGCGGCCGATATGTCATATATGTGATATATGGCTAATAACATTTTAAATCAGTTTTTTTAAGTAAAATTTATACAGTACAGTTCAATACAAACCCAGACAGCATCCAATTCAGAAAGATTTCTGTACGAAGTGTGTTCAAAAACATCTTACCGAGGTCACAATATGACATCATAGAGAAATCATTTTTAGGAGCTCAAGAGTTCTTGATGAATTCATAAATGAGAAGTCATTTTTTTAACATCTTAAAGTATCTTTTTTTCTGACCTCTTATTGGAATCAAAATTAGAAGCTACTAAGGGTATATATATAAGAAGCTGCGAAGTAGAATTAAGAGCGTGCTCCATACCAAACGGTCTTAGACCTAGGTAAACGGCTACCCGATACTGACGAGCTCCAAAAGAGCCGTCTATCGGTGCCGGTAAAGAGCATGCTTGAATTTAAACAAAAGTGAGACGAAGTAATCGCGATTTCAAAAATGAGCAAATACGAGCAAATTATTAAAATGATTTTATTAAAATTAATTTAACAAATTCGTTTGTTTTATGGTAATTAAACTGTACATGTGAAAATAAGCAACGATTCAGTATGCAATTTTTTTATCAGTACCCTAGTAGTACTTCTATATCCAAAACGGGAAATTCTAAAGAAGTATTTTTATAAGTTTATACAGTAGGACTCTTTAAAATGCTTAATTGCGAAGTCAAAGAAAAGGGTTCCTCAAGAGTTCTTTTTTGAGAAGACTTGATTAGTTCAATAGGTGGCGCATTCGAAGTCTTAAGAACTTCTTAAAAACTTCTTTCTGATGTTGTTTTTGACGTCCAAATCATAAAATAGAGCTTATGCAGACTTAATTAAGACGTCATAATGCTGTCTGGGAAGTAATAATATTATTATACATATTATGTTATATGATAAAACTATAGTACGTATACGTACATACAGACATAAATTTATTTAGGTATTAGCTTTAGGTATTTATATCGGACTAATAACTTTTTTAGAGAAACTAAAATGAATGTATAATCTATTCAAACAAACAATCCCTAGCAGCTGTTCTTTTATTGTATCTGTGATGTAAAAAACAAACAAATTTGCCTTGAAAGATGTAAAGCGTATATCCCCGTATTTCCTAGCTGCTTTTTAAACCCTCACACATGTGCACATCTACAAAACTTAAATTAGCATGCCTACACAACAAAACATCCTGAAAATATTGTATATACAAATGTTTTATAATTTAATTTTATTGATTATTATATATATATATATATATTATAAAATTAATAATTAATTTGTCCAGCTACATCGAGGTTACATTACATTTCTAGTAGAAATTTTCTACATACATTGATTTTTTTAGTTGGATACCATACACCAAGGGAAATAATAAATGTGAACTGAACTGTCAACCAAGACGTGAAAGATTTTATTATAGGCATAAATTACAAGTCATAGATGGTACTAAATGTGATGACGAATCATCAAATGTTTGCGTGCAAGGAAAATGTCAGGTAAGCCAGTTAAAAAATGTATCAAGTCTTAAACCTAAATTTTGGGATATTTTCTTTTTAAACTTGGGTTTATTCCAATAATTATTACAGATTTTGAGGAATATTGTCAGATAAAAATTTCTAAAAATGCAAACAATCTTTTGAAAAGTCCTTATCAAGGTCGGAATTGATTGCAGGTGATTAGCTTTTTCTAGGGATGGGAAAACTATCAATAACTATCGGTAGTTATCGATAAGCTGCGAAACTAGTAACTATCGATAGTTTTATTTATGCCCAGATAAAATTATGAGGTACATAATTGACGCATGTTGCAGTCCCAACGTGATTGTATTACGAACGTATGCACGCATATATGCATCATTTGCGTCATCAATTGAGGTTCATATAGCCAGCACATGTGATGGTTGGAGAAAAATTGTGATGTTTATAATTTACGCACATTGCAGTTACAACGTAATTGTTAATCCGCACGTATGCAAACATATATGCATCATTTGCATCAACAATTGAGATTCATATAGCCAGCACATGTGATGGTTAAAGAAATTTTTCTGGGCATGATTAACATGTAAATTTTGGACTTAATTAATTTGATTGTTTTTCTTACGTTTCGATTAGTACTTATATTTAATTGTCTTCAGTTATTACTTGAAGACCATTAGAGAGAATTACTAATCGAAATGTTGTAAGAAAAACAATCAAATTGATTTATTGCGAAATTTTTTTCAATAAGTAATAATCCAAATTATCTTTTTCTTTAAGTCATTTATTTCAGTTTTTGTGACAATTGTCAAGATTTATAGAAAGATATCTTATTTTAATTAAAATTAGGTATCTTTTTACAAATTCATAAATAAATTAATGATAAATTAATTTGTAAACGTGATCTTAAGATCAATTCCAATTTGGAATTCCAAATTATGTAAATTTTTTATACAAATGTAGTCTACAAATTTAGTCTTTACAAATCCAGTCTTTTCACAAATTAACCATATGGTGTAAGTCAATTTTTTGAAAATTTTAGTTATAATATGAAGTAAAATCAACAATTTTCTCAAGATGTAGTGTAGATCTAGTATAACATCTACAATTTTGCGATAACTATTTAGCAAAAGTGAAAAGTTTGCAATCATTTCGTGCCCTCATATACCAATCACGTGCGTGTATTCCCATTAATCATAAAATGAATATCATATCGCAGCGTTTTTACCGTCACGCATGATTCCGTACGAAGTAATGGCGATGTGCGTTTTGATGCCCGTGCGTGTATTAATATATTATTAATATATATTAATGTATTAATATATTCCCATTAATCATAAAATGAATATCATATTGCAGCGTTTTTACCGTCACGCATGATTCCGCACGACGTGAAGGCGATGTGCGTTTTGATGCCCCTCGCGGTTGTTATATGGATTTATACGTTACCGATAACTATTGATCCATGAAAAGCATTACCGATTGAGCCCCGAACTATTAGAATGGTATTGTTAAGAAGAAAGTATAAATATTTGCAAATGTAAATAAATGAACAAATTTTTTTCAAACGGGATGCCATATTTAAAGTTGTTTGATTAAATTTCCCGCCTCAGATGAGTTAAATTCCCAATGTATAATATACATTGTATATCGATTGTTTTTCTTACCGATATTTCATATCCTTTTTTCTACAACTTTTTTCTCACTTAAATCTTAATTTTTTTTTTAAATTATTTAATGCATCTAATAGATGGCACAACTGCTGACTCTTATTCAGGCACATGTTCAAAATCGACAAATTAAATACATTTTTATAGTTAAATAAGATTGAATTGTTAATGTTAATGTTAATTTTTCAACAATTGATAAAAATTAAGATTTTTCAAGGGCGCCCTGCTTCTATTTTCTAAATGCTAGGCAATTGCCTATAATGCCCAGTGGTACAACCGGCACTGGTATCCAGTGTGTCTACGTTTACGTTCCGTCCAACTATAAATTAAGCTTAAGGGTTATTCTCGTATGTACATTTAAGATTATACTGTATTATTTATTAGCCCGTAGGATGTGATATGATGTTAGGATCTTCAATGAGAGAAGACAAATGCAGAGTTTGCGGAGGAGATGGAAGTACTTGCACCACTTCAACCGGTTTACTGGATTCAAAAGATTTTCGAGAAGGTCTGTGTTTTAATACAATTTAATATAAAAATTCTGTAAACTACTCGAAATAGTATATTATTATACGAGAATGCAGGCTATTATTCACGAGGATGAGGTTTGCGTCTCGTGTCGCCAGATAAGAGACAAATCATGCGCCTTATTTCAAGTATAATCATATACTTTATCTACTCCAATAAGTAGTTAATTAAATGATTTTCAATAAATAAATAAATAAAATCTGACATCTGTCAAATGTTTAACCTCACTTTTTACCAATTTTAAATGTTACACAGTACAACACGATTTTCCATTCATGATAAATTTCACGAAATTACGTCAATTAATTTTTTTACAGAGCCATTCTTATTATTTTAACCCAAACAGATTTTTAATTCTCTATTTTGTTATAAATCATTTTTTTTTGTTCAAATATTTTATGTCGTTACATAATACAAAAATTAGGTATACTTAAAGAAAATAACAATTTTATTTTTTTTAAGTAAAAAAAATATTTGTGGTTTTAATTTTTAATTTTTTTTTAATAAAACAGATTTGTATTTATCTTATATTAAATATATCTAATCTTGATCTTTTAGTTTGACGATTATACATTGCTTTCGAATCTATATTGGCATCACAACCTAAAAAGACCACTTGATATAAAGGGTGTTTCACATTCGTGGTCCATTGGAAGTTTCTGGAGAACGGAAAAAATGTAGATTTGTAATTTAAAAGCGTTTATAATCCATTAAGTCTATTTTTTTAATATTTTGAACAAAATGCAACTTCCGGTTTGACCGGAAGTGACATTAACTTTGTTATTTCAAATAGAACACCCCATATATTTTTCCATTTTTAATTCTACATAAAATTCTGAGTAAAATTACTATACCATGTCCTATATCTAAAGTAAATAGTTTTCTAGATGTTTGCTATTAGGTTTACGGATATGGGGGTAAAATGTTTGGAATCTTAAAACATTGTTTAAAAAATTCCATGTCAATTCTTTAACATTTTTTAACAAATTACCCGAGAATCCCCAGGGCAAATTGGGCTAACTTGAAAGGTAAATAACTTTTTTATTTTAAATGTAACACCCGGTATGTTAAAAAATTGACATGGAATATGTTAAACAATGTTTTAAGATTCCAAAAATTCCACCCCCATTTTTACAAACCTAATAGCAAGAAAGTTATAGGGTATTTTTGATTGACGCGCATTTGTCATATTTTAACGAAAAAAATTAATAACTCAATTTTACTCAAAATTTTATGTAGAATTTAAAAATGTAAAATAACAAACTTGATGTCACTTCCGGTCAAGCCGGAAGTGGCATTTTGTTTAAAATATTTTAGAAAAATAGGCTTAATTGGATTATAAACGCTTTAAATCAATATCTTTTGCCGTTCCTCAGAAACTCTCAATGGACCACGAACCTGAAACCCGTATTTCGTAAATGTGCAACACCATGTATATAATTAAAATAATTTTAAAATAAATAAATAATCTTAATGGTTGTCCATTTATTCAGTGAATAAATTTTTCTTAAAAAAATACTATCTAGCTGTTATCGAATCTGTTATATTATGTGCCGAATACCGTGGATAACATTTTATTGATCGCACTTAAAAAAAATTACGTGATCTGAAAAAACGCCGAGATACGGGTATCATTTTTTAAGTCTATTTTCAAAATCTATAGAAATTTTCCATGGGAGGAAAAAAAATCAAATTTTGTCGTACTGTGTTATTATAGTCGCCTTTTTCCAATTTAAAACCCTATGGGTTTAAATCACAGTGAATATTGAAATCGGCCAATCACTGATGGCCAGCAACATGAATGTTGAGTTCATTATTCACGTTGTTAGGCAGGGAATTTATAATGTTTATCATTATTTACCGAAAAACTTAATAATATGCAATAGGGGTAGATATAAGTTTATATTTAACAAACAAAAATTGTTCGATTTTTTTTAATTATTGCATTAGCACCAAACATTCGGCCACCGCTCGGCATACACGGTAGACCGGCGGTTAGGCAGCCGGCCTGCTTGTTGTCCGCGTTTTGTTACCCTGGTTACGTTTGGCCACTTACTACCTGAAAACGGCCAGAATATGGCATTTATGAGTATGAGTATGAGTATAAGAAGGTATGGCAGGCCCCACCGGCAACGCATTACACTGATCTCACCCTTTCGGTTCTCCTACGTATCCCGCCACCGCACAGCGTTACCTGGGTTTGGTAAATCCGAATTTTCACCCCGGCAGATAAATCTTCCCTAGGAGGTCGTGGATGACAATTTTGATTGTTAAGGCCGAGTTAGGCAAGTGGAGTGTGAGACCAGAAGGGAAAACATTTTGGTTTTTGCGGAACATTGAACTGACCCAAAACTAAGTTGGTACAATCCGAGTTTCTTTGCCTAGTGTTTATCTGAACTTGATGATTTATTAATATTTATGTTAAAATTCTTTATGAGTTCCATAATTGCTATTTTTGTAGAAAATATTGGCGACTAATTAATTTTTACCTGGTGAAGTTGTTTGTTAGTTACTTAATTTCGCATTAAATTTTAGTATTTGGGTATTATTTAGGTCATGCCATTTTACTTATCCAGTTTATGCAAATGGACTTGAACTGAAGAGGTGCATGATACTTAGGCAGGTGTGGTAAAGTTATTCCTTAACTTCGACCGCCCACTATTAGCGCGCGTTGTTTCTGTGTTGGTAATCCAGGAAAAGTTATTTTATGTGTCCAGTCACCTCGCACTCTTATTCACAGGTGGAGCAATCTGGGACTTAATCCAGGTGAAGGGTCCACACGCAAATTTAACCCTTTTGGCACTTGGTTCTGGTAGATCACGTGTAGAATATTGATTAATCGATTGTTTTTATGAATTTGAACAGCGATAGCAGTGAGTACGAACGCGTTTTACGAAAGATTAGACACGACCTCCTGCCTCAAGGTACGGAGCATCAGAATATGGCATGTCGCAGCATAATAATTCGGCATGCCTGGACTGCTTATGCACCGCATACCCATACATTATCTTGTAAGTTGCGATGGGTTTCAATATTTAGTTGAAGGTCTGGGATAACCTTTCTATACCTTTAGAGTGGGGCTAATCTACGCACTATCATGCCATTCAGAGGATTTTATTAAGACGTCTTTTTTTGTATGGAGAGGCCGATTCTCAGCCAACTAAATACATAACCGATACTCTGCCAATCATACATAGCCGAAACTCGGCCAGGTGGAAGTTACCCGACAGTGGGCCAGGCGGACATGCCCGGTCTATATGCCAAATCTCATAAGTGCTACCGTCGGAGGCGGCCAATTCGGCCAAACGTATTCGGTTCGTATACGGCCCGGATAACTTGTGCTTACTGGGCGAATAAGATTTTTTTTCAAAACCTTAAATTTAGGACTTAAATCTGAACAAAAAATATCCATGTTTTATATACCTTGCTTTCTTTAAATTTTTACCACTAAAATATCAATATTTACCTACTTTATTTATAGAAACTTTTATTGTTTTTAATTTCAATTTTTATAAGCATATAAATTTAAAACAAAGTTAATTCTTTTTAGGTTATAATGATATTTTATTAATTCCTCGAGGTGCAACCAATATTAAAATTATCGAAGAAGCACCCTCTAATAATTACCTTGGTATGTTTTTTCTAATTAATCGTAATTTAAAACACAATATTATTTTTGTAATTTTTAAGCTGTTAGAAATACCACCAATCATTATTATCTTAATGGAAATTGGAGAGTGCATTCCCCAAGATCAATTAATTTTGCTGGATGCAAATTTATTTATTCCAGGCATTCCAAAGATCTATCTGCTATAGATGAATTATATTGTTTGGGTCCAATAGAAGAATCTTTGTTTATTGTGGTAAATATTAAAAAAAAATTGATTTAAATTTATGTATTTTTTGCCATACGTTATTCAAAAAATACGAACAAAAACACTATGATGTTTAATAAAAGTTCCTCATACGAGCAAAAAAGGTGTCGCTTTATATTCTTGTTGCATACATTACTATTTGTATAATTTTATATTTTTTAGCTTTTATCCCAAGAACCCAACGTGGGTGTCAAATATGAATATAGTTTTCCCAATAATGTTGCTCCAGGAATTGAATCAGAAACATATGCTTGGACTTTTGGGGAATATAGTCCATGTAGTGCATCGTGCGGTGGAGGTAAATTGAATTTCTTAATAGTAGTAATAGAATATTATAGACCAGGCGAAAAAAGCATTTATTATCTCCGAGTATACATTAGATTATAATAATAATAATAATAATAATAATACTTTATTGGTGCCATTACAAAAAAATATGTTTACACAGGATTGTGTGCGAGACAATCAGTAAGCTTTCGCCGCCGGGTTATATTTATAACATTTTTTTTTTTCAAGCAATTAATTAAATAATTTCTTGTTGTATAATTGTTAGGTTAGGTTCTGAAATGATAAGATTTTAGCTTTATTTCTGTACTGAGTTTAATAACTTTTGAACTAGTATTACTATGAAGTTTTCTATATAGACTTATGAGTGTTATAATATGACGTTTATTATTACAATAGGAGTCCAAACGCGAAATGTTAGTTGTGCTGGAAGAAAATCTTTACAACCTGTCGAAATAAATTTATGCCAATCCATGTCTGAACCACCTTCATCCCAAAGATGTAACGAAATCCCATGTGAAGCTCAGTGGGTAGCCTATCCTTGGGGAAGATGTTCATTGCCTTGTGGTAAAGGAGGAATGCAAACAAGACAAATTGTTTGTCAAAGAATTGTTGCTAAAGGATTGCCATCTCAAGGTAAATATTAATTATAATGGGGCGCAAAAAAATTGAATATTTTTTGTTTTTAAATCTACTATAAAAATATGTTAGTTTATCATGTTTTAAGTGCTCTCTCCAAAATTCAAATCAATTAAAAAAATTGTAAGGGTCACTCACGAATTTTGAATATTACAAAAAATTTAAATTCGATTTTTTTTATTTTGGCTCGGAGATTAAATAAGTTTTAGTTTAAAATATGACTTTTTAAATGTGCGTTATAACTTATTTATAAAAAAAATGTTTAAAATCTTTGTTTTTGATGTTTTCAAGTGACCTTAAAATATTGATGAATATTAGGTATTATTCCTTAATTTAAAAAATACGGGTAAATTTAATAAAATAATGAATAAATCTAACATTAATTAATACTTTTCTTTAATTTACCTTAGCGAGATTAAAAAAATTAAACATAAACTCAAACTTCTATTTTTGAAATTTTCAAAATTCGTTCGTGTACCCTAAACATGTTTAATCGAAGTGATTTTTGGAAAAGAAATAGTCGGTTTCATGGTACCATATCCGTTTTTCGAGGCTAAGGCTGCTTTAGTGAGCTCCGTTGCCGCTGATCGTTGTTTATATACCCTCTTAGCTTTCCGCTTCATTAACGGGTGACTGCAATTGTACCTGTGGTATGTTCGGCTCCATTTCATCTGCATGGTGGTTGTAAGAGCTGGTTTCCATGCAGTTGGTAGTCTCTGTGTATCGTCTCTTGTGTTGAGGTTTCTTGGCTAGCATCGAACACAGGACCAAACGTACCATCCGTGAAGCCATTGATATAGAAATACATATGTTCAGGGTGTCCCAGAATATGTGGAAAATCTTCCGGATTTAGATAAAACACATAAAAATAATTAGACAAGTTTCTGTCATGTCATGTCAATGGCAGTGCCAGTGTAGGTACCATTTAAAATCATACAATTTTTAATAAAGCATCACGAGTTAGGTAGCGGTAGCCGAGTTTTGCATTAAATATTATACGAAACAACTTATAGTTGTCAGAAGTAGCAGTAAGGAAAGTAGAGGCAAAAACGTAGCAGCAAGAGATGATCATATTTCATCTTTTCTTACCGCTACCGCTACTCCAGCCAAACACATGGCAGTTTTTAGTTAGCAGCAATGCTTTTTAGGTTAGTAGTATATCTTTATAATCTGTGGTGTTTGACAGTGGTGGGTAAGGTTAAAAGATAAATATTCATAAGAAAAAATTGAACCTACACCTCGCCAAAGTTTTTTGTTTTGAATGCGTTCCACCAACTTCAAATACCGACAGACAGCTGTTTCGACCTTTATTGGGTCTCATCAGTGTCGGGCAACTTGGTGTAGTGGAACACAATCAAAACAAAAAACTTTGGCGAGGTGTAGGTTCAATTTTTTCTTATGAATATTACCAGTGATGGGTCAAGAAAGTTTCTTAAAGAAACTAAGAAAATTGAATGTTTAGATAAATATTTCTTTATTTATTATTTTAGTTGAATTGTATTCCCATTTATGAGATCTACAAAAAAAAGTAATAAGAATGCATTTGAAACGATCCCCATAATGCAGTTGAAACTCTGCGGTAGCACATAATATTTTGCATAACGCCTTATGGCCCAGAAGCACAGAACTGTTCCAATCCATAGGGTCGTAGAACTAGCAGAAAATACTCCAAAATAGGAAAATTTACGCTTTTCTATCAATTGTTACTAAAAAAATGACAATATGAATTAAAGTACACATGCGCCGCCAGTACTCCTACCGGTACTTTCTGAACTATAAATTGCAGTGATACCGCTACCTCTTACCTCTTACCTTCTACCGCTACCTTTGAAACTATAATCCGGCTTTACTTTGACAACAGCAAGAGTTAGTTTTGTAACATCATATTTATATTCTGCATATTAATACAATATTAATATTTTGATTTAAAAGTAAGTGGATTACTGTTCTGCACATCTTACTGTTTTATTTTCTATATGTTGATTCTTTTCACTTATCCTTTTTAAGTTTTGATTGCACAAGGGACATATTGGGTGGTCATTTTCTTTAAATGTTAGCATATAGTTTTTTTCACAGATTACTCTTTTAGTGTAAGCAATACTTTTAGGGTATATCTTTATAGTCAGTTGATTTTATATCGTTGGCACAGCAAGTTGCTGAATTTGTTTCACATTTCTTTTTGTTTCTGTACTTTTAAACTTTTATTTGTTATAATAAACATACATTGATTTTGCTCTGAGCTAGTTGAATTATTTATTTATTCCAATAAATATTTAACAGGTTATGGGCCCACCACGCTTCCACTGAGCAAATCATTGTTGTTTGTTAAACAAAGAATAGTGCGGTTTCTACACTGAAAGAAATGCATTGGTCTTTATTACTCAAAAATAGTAATGATTACAAATATTATATGTTAAAATGGCGACAGCGAAAACTTTTGCTACTACAATATTTATATTTTGCTAGAAGGTTTATGCAGTCTGCACAAATATTTATTTGTAGGTGAAACAATTAAGTTGCCCTGAAATAGTAAGACATATTTGTAGTGGTAACAAAAAATAACTTGTAATAGCCAATGCTTATTTGTAGGCAGAGCAAAGAAATTTGTTCGAAGTAGCAGCAGTATTTGTTCTGTGTTGATATCATTATTTGTCTTGGCAGCAAGCATTTACTTATTACAACAAATCATTATTTGTACATAGTGCAATTAAGTTTGCCCGAAATGGTAAAAAGTATTTGTATTGGTAGCCAAAAAGTATTTTTTATAACAAATGCTCATATGTAGGCATAGCAAAGAAATTTGTGTTAGCAGCAGATAATTATACAATATTTGCTGCAGTAGAAAACAAATGGGTAGGGGAGGGTGAAAATAATTTAACACTTTTTACAAATGTATAAAAATATATTATAATAACTAGGTACATTTAAATTCAACCAAACTACAAATACGATTCGATTTCGTCCAGAGAAGGTCCAACAATTACACCTAGGTGTTGGTTGGAGGGACAGTCCAATTTGGACTGTCCAAATGACTTTAGTTTTTGCACTTTGCTTTCCAACACGTCGTTCAATTCACCAGTTATCTAGAACGAAAGACAAAAAAATACTTTAATACACATAAAATTTACTGGATTAAATTCGGTAACTACGGATTAAACATGTGATGTTTGACTACAATTGGGAAGACTCGTTTTTGCAGAAACAATTTCCTATAAAGTGAAATGGACTTTCGCAAAAAATTTACATTTCATTAACACTTATACCTAGGTAATAAGATAAAATAAAAGCTACCAACCCATACCTTTATGTGAATAATAAATCCTTCTTCCACTTCAGTCTTTGACGGCCGCCAACTCTATGAAAAAGAAAAAACTTTAATTATGTTTCAATACAAAGTAAAATTGCCTATCTTGTATTATATTTTCATCACCGAGTCAACTTACTTAAGATGTATCCGGATTTTAGCTTTTATGTCTACTACAAACTTGCATATTAAATATAAAAACAATACAATACTTACGTTTAAAAATATCCACATATTTAGAGAATCCCCATTGATCGTAACTAATTTAAAGGTACGCAATCTTCACACGAACAAATCTCAAATGATTTTAACTCTGAAAATGGCCTAGTGGTGGCCATATAGAAAGTCTGGTAATCTTCAGGTATATGTTTTGCCTTTTTTTATTTTATATTTTTGCTGGTAAAAAATTTTGATAATTACTTTGTTAGTTATTTTTTCGCGTATGTGTTGAAATATCATTAAAACATAGTTTAATAAACAAAAATAAATTTAATGTAAATGTTACATGTGTACATGAATAAGGGAACAAACTTAATGCTGGGTTTTTACAAATGTTCTGAGGTCCCATGCAGCCCCTAAAAATTCTTATCTTAGGTAAAAGTGGGGTTTTATTGCCCTTCTTGAAAATATCAATACTCTTAAATGAAAACCAGATGTGGTCATGTGCATGAAAAGCTTTTAAAATAAAAATATTGGGGTTTAACATTGATTTTAACCATTAACATACTTATTTTTTTATTAAATATTTAAAACTTTTAAATATTTAATAAAAAAATAAGTATGTTAATGGTTAAAATCAATGTTAAACCCCAATATTTTTTATTTTTAATAAATTAAAAGACATTTAATTTTTTTAATAATTTTTTAAGATGTTATAAATAAATTATTTTTAAGTATAACATAGACATGCATATACATGCGTCACGTATTGTTACTATAACAACGACATTTAATTTTTTTAATAATTTTTTAAGATGTTATAAATAAATTATTTTTAAGTATAACATAGACATGCATATACATGCGTCACGTATTGTTACTATAACAACCCATAAATACTTAATTTATAATTATTTCTTCTTGTATTTACCTATTACCTTGTTAGGTTGGTACTTAATTAAATATAATTCAAAAAAATTAAATACTTTGCAACCAACTATGTACATTACTTTATTTTGTATTATCAATAAAAAAGTATGCTCTGTAAACACAATCTTTAACTAACGCACATTTTTTACGCCAGCAAATGTCAGTTTGCTATAAGCAAAATGCTGTTTGCACAGAAAGTAAAGATTTTGTCCGTAAAGCAAAACATAAAGAGTTCATATGCTTACTACTACAAGCATTTTGACATTTGTTGTAAGCGCAAAACTTTACCGTTTGTTTGTAATGTCCACAAATATAATACTCTTTCCAACACATTGCTTTCAGCATATTGTTTTTTGCTACCAAAACCTATGCATTTCTTTCAGTGTAATTTAGCTAACGTCGCGCGCGACTTACTGTTCAGCAACAGTTCACAGTTAGCGCAGTGTTTTTTTGTGTAATAGTGCAAAGTAAGTGATTTTTTAATCATGACTGACCGAGAAGTTTTAGAGTTGACAAAACTTGATGGAACCAATTATTCTATGTGAAATTTTGGTGTCCGATTTCTTTTACAAGCAAAAGAGCTAACAGGTCATTTCAATGGTGA